ACACACAAATCCTCAAATCTACCTATGCTTTCCAACTCAGAAAATGAAATCCAGACAAGTTTAAGGTGCTGGTGAATAAAAGGATGATCCCATTGTCCATTATAAGAAATAGCCTATTTATTCAGGGAAACTTTAAGTAATGTTGAAAGTTGTTGTTGTTATGTGCTGTCAAGTCACCTGCAACTCATAGAGACCCTATGTACAACAGCTCTAAACCCTGCTCTCTCCTTTGCCAATCTTATTTTCTCTGACAAGCCTATCCCCATTACCCCAGTGACTGAATCAATCCATCTCATTGAGGATCTTCCTCTGCTGAGACTATGGCAAAGAGGAAGAAGAAATATTGTTATTATGTGCCACTGAGTTGCTTGCAACTCATAGCGGCCCTATGTACAAAAGCTCTGAACCCTGCTCTAACCTATGCCAACCTTATTGTCTCTGACACACCTACTCCTGTTACCCTAGTCACTGAATCAATCCATCTCATCGAGGGTCTTTCTCTCTTGTGCTGTTCCTCCACCCTGGCAATCATGATGTTCCTCTCCAAGGACTGATCCCTACTTGCAACATGCCCAAAGTATGTCAGAAGAAGCTTCAGAATCCTTGGAAATAGGGAACAAAATAAACAAGCAACAAGAAATAAATCAACAAGTCCCTCACCTCCTCACTGGAAAACAACAAAGTCTATTCCAATGAGTTGGGTCAGAACCTTGACAGTGGAAATATGTGTATGTGTGTATGTGTCTGTGTTTATGTGTCTATGTATGTGTGTGTGTTTATTTAACAGAGATCAAATAGTTCTGCTTATATCCTTTGCTCAAGCCACAGAAAGTTGGCACAGTCTGCTTCCGTAAATATTAAGTGCTGGTAACCCAGTGAGACCATGTCTTACAGTGCTTAGAGGAGGAATAAACTCAACAACAATGAGTTTTGACTTTGGCTTGGTTTTATTAGAGTCACAGGACATCTCTGGAGAGTAAGCGAAGATAAAATTGAAACGTATTGGACATGGATGGGTTTTGAAGGACATTAAAAATAGCGGGTTTGGGAAGCAATATTTGAGTGGAAGGAAAATGTGAAAAAGTACAGTATCTGTTTCAGTAGAACCATTGGTTAGTTTCTTCTGTGTTTTGTTAATTATACTGTAACTTGGATTAATCCTTGAACTTTTCATGTTGAAATTTGTTTACTTAGTGTGGCCAGGGACCTAACTGAGACATTCAACTTGTACAAGGCTCTATCAATATTACTCCATCAAAACTGAAAGCAAGAATAAAGATTTAAATGAGAACTCTGCTAACCATATCATTTATATATTTATGGAGACTGATTATATATATACAATCCACTGCCATGCTGATTAATGATAGGTTACTAACTAGCAGAACTTTAGGACAGATTGAATTCTTTTTCCAATTCCACCTCTGGAAAAATAAATAATTTAAATAAGTAGAGTTCTTTTCCCCCACTGAACTGGAACTTTTCATTTGACCAATATATACCTATTTCCCAAATAGCCATAAAAGCAATGTTTAAGAGACTAGTATAGGTAGTTATATATAACATAATATTTTTTATATAAAACAAGGTAGAAGTCTTCCTTATGTAATTTATTCAGAGTTAATATTTTTCTTAAATTTAATGTAATTTAAAAGTATTTACTGAGATTGAGTTCGATTCATTCACTAGAATAAAGAATTGACATGAGAATACAATTTTATTTCTGCCGTTGCTGTCATTAATTAATTAATTAATTAATTAATTAACTAATTAATCAATTCTGAGATGACGGAATTTTAAGGTAATTTTTTGTTGTTGTTATTATGTGCCATCAAGTTGCTTGTGACTCATAGTGACCCTATGTACAAGAGCTCTAAACACCGTTCTATCCTGTGCCAACCTCGCCATCTCAAACACACTCATTCCCACCACTCCACTCACAGAATTGATTCATCTCACCGAGGGTCTTCCTCTCCTTTGCCGCCCCTCCACTCTCCCAAACATGATGTCCCTCTCCAAGGACCAGTCCCTCCTTGCAACATGCCCAACGTATGCCAGACGAAGCTTCAGAATCCTTGACTCCAAGGAGCACTCCGGCTTCGCCTTCTCCAGGACAAACCTGTTTGTTCTCCTAGCAGTCCATGGTATATTCAACACTCTTCTCCAGCACCACAGCTCAAAGGCATCAATTCTCTTTCTCTCATCCATATTCACTGTCCAACTCTCAGATGCATAGCACATAATTGCAAAGAAGATAATGGTAGAACCCAAATTTAGTCATGAGACAAGAGGATTAATTCCAAATTTTATTGTATAGCTTTGCATGGTGCCAGACACCCAAAGATCCAAGAAGGTGGGTATACTGGCCCTAATTTTAGTCTCACCTATATATGTGAAATAATAGTAAAAAATAGGAGAAGCATTCTCTGCTTCAATTGGGCCTGTTGTTGGGCATGATATTAGGTGTCATTGAACTGACTATAACTCATAGAAATTCTATGGACAATGGATCTGAACCGTGTCCTGTCCTTCACCAACTTCATAATCTCTGTTAAGCCCTAGCCACTGTTACAGTCTCTATGTCAGTCTCTCTTTGTGAGAGTCTTCCTCTCTTCCTCTGACCCTCCACCTTCCTCCACATGAGGTCTTTTCCCAAGGACTGGTCCCCCCCTGATAAGTTGCCCAAAGTATGTCAGAGGAAATGTCACCCTCCTTGCCTCTAAGAAGCACTCTGGTTGCACTTCCTCCAAATAGATATGTTGTTTTTGTAAGCAGTCTATGGCATATCCTTTTGGTTGCCTTGGATTTGGTTTAATTTTCCTCAGCTTTAGCTTGAATTTGCACAGATTTGTCCTGGAAAGGGTTAAACCGGGTGGCTCCTTGGAGGCAAGGATTCTGAGACTCCGTCTAACATACTTTGGACATGTTGTGAGGAGAGACCGGTCCTTAGAGAGGGACATCATGCTTGGGAGGGTGGAGGGACAGCGCAGGAGAGGAAGGCCCTCTATGAGGTGGATTGATTCAGTGACTGGGATAATTGGGATGGGAGTGTCGGAGACAGTGCGATTGGCACAGGACAGAGCAGAGTTTTAGGGCTGTTGTACATAGGGTCGCTATGAGTCGCAGGCGACTCGACGGCACATAACAACAACAACAACAATGGCATATCCAGTCGTCTTCTCCAACACTACTGTTTAATGGCATTGATTCTTGTTCTGTGTGCTTACTCACTGTCTAACTTTGGGGAGCATAGAAAACAATTTCAAGAACCATGGATTGGAAATTATACACCTTAGTCTTTAAACTGACATCACTGCTCTTTAATACTTTAAAGAGGTTCTTGACAGCATATTTTCCCAATTCAACACATCTTTTGATTTCTTCACTGTTGTAACAAGTGTCCATTGAGAATCTGAGTTAAATGAGAAGAGCTGACAACTGCAGTCTTTTCTCCATCCATATTCTTGTTGCCTATTGGTCAAGGGATGAGGATTTTTGTTTTCTTGATGTTAAGATGTAATCCATAATAAAGAATGTATTTGCTGATCTTATTCAGCAAATATTTTAAGTCCTCTTCACTTTCTGCAAGCAAGGTTGTGTTATCTGCATAATTCAGCGATCTTCATGCCACATTTTTATTTATATAGTCCAGCTTCTTAAATGATTTACTCATCACATACATTTAATAGGTATGGAAAAAGGATACAGACTTGACACACACCTTTCCTGATTTTAAATGTTATAGTATTCACATGTTCCATTCAGACAACTGCCTCTTGGTCTAGGTATAGGATTCATATGAGCACAATTGTGAATTCCGGGATCCTGTCCTCCTCAACGTTGTCCCTAATTTGTTATGATCCTCACAGTCAATACCTTTGCATAAAACACATGAAAACAAATCTTTGCTATTGTCAGCTTTTAGCCATGATCCCTGCCATCAGCAATGATAGCTCTGGTATCAGGGCCTCTTCTGAATCTAGCTTCTGGAAGCTTTCTGTCAATATATTGTTCTGGCTGGTATGGAACAATCTTCAGCAAGATTTTACTTATGTGTGATATTAATGATATGGATCTCTTCCAGTCAGTTGAACAGGTTGTTGTCTTCCAAATTTCTTGGCAGAGTCTTATGAGCACATCTAGAGCTGCATCTGGTTGTTGAAACATGTCAATTGGTATTCCTTCAATTCCTAGGGTCTTACTTTTTGCCCGTGTCATCAGTGCAGATGAAGAATTGATGCTTTTGAGCTGTACTGTTGGAGAAGAGTACTGGACATCTGATAGACTACCAAATGAACAAATATATCTTGAGTGCTCCTTGGTGGCAAAGACGATAAAGCTTCACCTTACATACTCTGGGCATGTTGCTAGGAAAGGCTGTTCCTCGAAGAGGGACATGATGCTTGCAGTGGTGGAGGGTAGGTGAAAGAAAGGAAGACCCTCAACCAGATGGATTAACACAGGGACTGCTGCAATGGGCTCAAATGTGTCTTGGGAGTGTAGAACTGGCCAACAAGATGCCCAACATTATGTATCTTTATGGAAGCAGAACACTTTAGCTTTCTCTTTCAGGGAGCGACTGGTGGGTTTGAACTCTCAACCTTTTGGTTAGTAGCCTAGAGCTTAATGCTGTGCTACCAAGGGTCCTCTGTAACCAGGAGGCTTTAAAATACAATGGTTTGAATAATATAGAAATGTGTTTATTTTTCATTTAAAAGAATAAAAGGAGGCAGAAATAGTAGGGTAGGTATACAGAGTGCTTGAAGATCAATCACCTTTTCTATATTCAAATTGTGGCTTCCACATGTAGGTTGAAGGCTGTTTTGCTAAAAGTTGGATACACCCTGGATGTTGCAGGAACCATTTATGCTCACATCTTACTGAGCTGCAAGCCAGATATTTACATGTGGGCACACAAGAGGCTGGGAAACAATCTCTAGGTCATGACTCATGTGACAAACTAAAATGGAACAAAGGGAAACTGTATTGGGACAGAGGCCAGTTTAGTAGTTCTAAAAAAATTGATGAGATGTATTTTGCAATATATATATCCTAAGTTGTGCTCATAGCTTTATTTTTATTAAAATGCTGTCTTGATATCGAACATCAGGCCAAAAATGTTTCCAATGGCCAAGTTTGCTGTATGTGCATGTAATCTACGTATATAAATAGATAAGTGTGTATGTCTGTGTATATCACTGTTTACTCATCATAGCAGCTTCATGGATGGAGATATATGATCTCACTGTATGTAGGCTTCTGTTATCTGTCACCTCTCCGCTGGAGTCTGAACTGTTGTGACTTTTGGTGCTGTGTGGAAATCTTTGACAGCCCATTTGATTTCCATGACATATATTAGAAGTAGACCCCAATTTTCTCCTGATTATAAAATCAAGAAGTGTTAATTCTGTAAAATGATCATCAGGCAATTTTTGTGATCTCATTCTTGGTTTGAACTAATATAGTAAACACTTATGCAGTAAGATTTGAAAATAGTTCAATGTCTTTATAATTGCTATAATATTTTCAGTTAAAAATAGTTCCTTATAAATGGTGTAGGAGGGGAAGACCCTCTATGAGGTGGATTGATTCAGTGACTAGGGTGATCAGGATGGGTGTGGCAGAGGCAGTGCGATTGGCACAGGATAGAGCCGGGCTTAGGGCTGTTGTACATAGGGTCGCTATGAGTCGCAAACAACTCGATGGCACATAACAACAACAACAACAAAAACTTTCTTTAAAATATCAATTAAAAATGTTTTAAAAGCAGTGAAATAAAATAATTCCAAAAGACCAGACTAGCAGAAACCTAATACTTTCGAATTCTTTTGTTTTGAAGTTGACAGTAGCTTAGCTATCTATATATCTGTCATACCAGGTAGGAGGCTAGGTGTTAAGGAGTAAAATAGTAAACAAACAAAAGGAAATTTAAAGGAAGGAATGCTTTGAAGATCTTTAAGCACACCCCAGAGGACCATTTTATAAACAGCCTGATGCACAAGACTGAATTTCTAGAACATGGTATTACTACGTTATCTGGGCATCTCTGGATTATTCTCACTTGTTCTCATTGCCATCGTTTCAGAAGTGAGTCATAGCTGACCCTGATAAGGGTTTCCAAGTCTCTAAATTGTTCAGGAGGAGATTGTCCCTCTTCCTCCTTCAGAGCTGCTGGTGGATTAAAACCTCAGCAGAGGTGTGGTTTATATTAGCAGTACTACCCCCTACAGACTATACCACCAGAGCTTGGGTTATTGGTTGCTGCTAAGCCCTAGTAGTGGAAAGAATTTTCCAGTAAGAATGGGCAGAAGAGCTAGAACTTTACTATGACAAATAAGGAGTAGGGAGGAAAAGAAAGAATGAAAGAGTTTAAGGTGAATTTTTCAGCGCTATAGAAGGAAAAAGAAGAATACTTTCGAAGGGGAGAGATAGAAATTATTATATCAAGGTTTGCAGGAACTGAGTAAGCCAAGACATATCCTGAGATTCTCCTCTGTGAAAATCATGTGTAACTCTAATGTAGCCAAAGAGGTCACAGGAGAAGCAAGGTTGCCATTGTTTGAAAAGTGAATGAAATAGAGCTGAGTGGGGACTTGGAGAAGCTTAATGGAGATACATACCGTGGCGCAGTGATGACTCAGTGGTAGAAATTTTACTTTCCAGGCAAAAGACTCGTTCAGTTTCTACAACCACCCACAGAGGCTTGAATGTTGCTGAACAGATTTCAGCAGAGGTTCCAGATTAAGACCAGGAAGAAACATCGTGTGATGTCCTTCAAACTGTCAGCCAGTGAAAACTGTTTGAATCACAGTCCCTCATGAGAAAAGACTAAACAGAGTTTTATTTAGTTGTTGTGGCATCAACTTGACAATGTCCTTGAAGAATCACCATGACTCCTGAATTGTGTTTGTGGTTGTGTAACATTTAAAATGTTTCTTTGGAAGAATTTCTCTACTAGCATAGAAAGTAGCCAGTATGAGACACTCTTCTATTTTTTACCTTACTATGCTCTGGTAGTCTAGTGGGTAATTGTTGTGCTGCCCATTTAGAGGAAGGCAGTTCGAGTCCACCAGCTGCTTCACAGGAGGAAGATGGTCAGTCTCCTCCCATGCAGTTTACAACCTCTGAAAATCCAGTGGAGGGTCAGGTCTGAGTCAGTTCTGAATCTACAGCAATGAGAGTTAAAAGATCATATATTGACCAAAGGAAGTGTGTACTTTTGTCTCTTAAATTTGCCTTCTCATTAAGATGACAAACTAATGGTAGAGGACAGCAACACATGTGATGGTAGCTGGTCACTTCCTAGTTGTAAAATTCCCATGTCTAATGATGAGGTTGGTGTGAACAGATGACCATCTTGATGTTTTGTTGGTATAAACAGATGACCTTCTTGATGTTTTGTTAGTGTGAATAGATGACCTTCATGGTGTTTTGTTGGTGTGAACAGATGGCTTTCTTGGTGTTTTGCTGCTCAAAGGTGAATTTGAACTCCTATGTGGCAGAATTACTGACAGCATTTCACAAGTCCCACCATCAATTACAGTGCTTATAAGACAGAGATGATGTGGTAGCAGGAGTGGGGAGGATTTTGAATCTCTGCAAGCTTTGATATGGTATTAGATTTTAACTCCATTTAAACTGAGTGATACATAAGATCTTCATGCCATTAGAATTCATTTAGAATAAGCCTCTCAGAACTGACCTACTTTAGACAATGAGAGATTCACATTAAGTGGGCTTATGCTGCACAGCTATGCGGTGTTCAGTATATCTATAAACCTCTAATCACTTTAAATGCTCCATGCTAATTGCCCTGAAAGATGTGCATTAAAAGAAGCAAAAAGCAAATTTCCAGAAATATATCTCCGAAATGATTGTAATTTACATAAGGTTTAGCCAAGGAACAGATGTCTTTTTTAATGCTGTACCTTTGTAAAAAAATTTAAGGCCTATTATACAAATCTGTCTTCTGTCCTTGGTGTTCCTCCCAGCCCTGACTTTGGTGACTGCTTTCATCCGAACATGCACTGACAAGGGCAAGGAAAAAAGGCTCATTGTCTGGGAGATCCGACTCACAATGACACCAAGGAAATAATTTTTAGTGAACTTTTTAGCTTTCTGGATTTAATTAGAATCAAATCTTTGTGAACGTTATTTTATGGGACACTACTTTTCCTCACTCTTTACATAGTCAGCATTTGTTATTACACTATGTAGAAAAGAAAATGAAAATAAACCATAATATTACAATATTTTTCATTCATTTTAGTTTTGTATTTTGTATGTATGTTCTAAGTTGTGATAGGATATCACAATTTTATTAATTATGAAGGATATTGTCATTTTAGATCCCTTTCCCATTTAATATCATACTTTAAGAGTCTTTCACTTTATTATACATTACATATTCTTTATAAATCTATTCTTTAGGAATTGTAAAGTATTTCTTTATATCATTCAAATAGGTGTGGCATTCTTAAATCATATGTATTTTTTTGAAATAAGGTATACCTGTTTTTTTCGTATCATTATAAATAATGTTTTAATGAGTACAATTAAATGTCTATTAAGTGGACAATCTGATGATTTCCCCAGAAATATTTCTAACAATGACATGTTAGCATCAAAAATACTCATATTATTTTTCAGATTCTATGACATATATTATCTGTTTTCTCAAAATTTAAAAATGTAGGTAAGCTTATTCTTGTATTTGTATTGTCTTTTTGATTGTCAAGAACGGAAAAGGGGACTTTTATCTCATCTACAAAGAGAAGTGTTTATATTCTTCTAGTTCTCTCTTATTTTTCATCTCCATACTCTCTTTACCCAAAGCAAAGGTTCCACACAAGAATCACCTTTTCCATATGCTCTTGTGAGTGTATGTTCTGATAAAGGCATTCACCATCGTATACATCTTACACCATTTAATTTTGCAAATATATTGACATAATTTTCTAAGTTTTACTGGTTTATAATCTTATTAATCTTCATTTTATACTGCAAATTCCATATTTTTTGTCATTTATCAGGTATAAAGTGTCTATATGTATGTCTACATATAAATGTGTACATGTACTCATATATACATATCTAGTATTTTGGCGCATTTATATATGCCGTGGGAATGTCTTCTGTTAGAGACCTCTTCAAAGTGCTGAAGAGCAATGGCATCTCTTTGGAGACTAAGGTGTGTCTGATACAGGCCATGGTCTTTGCTATCACTTGTTATGCATCAGAGAGTTGGTCAATGACTAAGGAGGATAGAAGGAGAATTGATGCCTTTGAGCTGTGGTGCTGGAGAAGAGTATTGAGGGTACCATGGACTGCTAGGAAAACAAAGAGATTCATCCTGGAAAGGGTTAAACTGGGCTGCTCCTTGGAGGCAAGGATTCTAAGGCTCTGTTTAACATACTTTGGACATGTTGCAAGGAGGGACAGGTCCTTGGAGAGGGACATCATGCTTGGTAGGGTGGAGGGACAGCACAAAAGGGGAAGGTACCCTTTGAAGTGGATTGATTCAGTGACTGAGGTAATCAGGATGGGTGTATCAGAGACGCTGCGATTGGCACAGGATAGAGCAGAGTTTAGGGCTGTTGTACATAGGGTCGCTATGAGTCGCAAGCAACTCGATGGCACATAACAACAACAACAACATATATACCAGTTGCTCCTTGGGAGAAAGATAGGCAATTTCCCCTCATGCAATTTACTGCCTCCGAAAACACAGTTTTAGGTTAGCAATGAGTCGGTTCCAACTTGATGGTAGTGGACAACAGCCCTATATACACACACACACACATATATATATACGTATACACACATATATATACACACACATATATACACATATACATATATATACATATGTATGTATATGTATATAAATGTGTATATATATGTATGTGTGTATGTATGTATATATGTATGTGTACACACATTTATAGATATACTATACACATATATGTTCTTGTTGATGTTGTTAGGTGCCATCATATTGCCTGCAACT